CCTGACACATCCCTCTCATAGATTGTCAGCTGTCGGACGATCGGTTTCGTCAACGGGACGCGCAAACCAAACACAGTCTTTTTCCAGGATACCAGGCCTGTTTCCACATTTCCTCGATTCACGACTGCACGTGTGTTCGGGCCTACTCAGTCATCGCATTGAGTGCATAGTATCCGTGGTATAACCGACGATGGGCATGATGCGCTTGTAGGTTTGGGGTGCGGGTGGTGTGGGACGTTGTCGTATACCACCGACACGCATGTTCAGTAAACCAACAGTACGTATTCCTAACACAATGGCTATAAAGATGTTCGCTGCCCGCCCATTGCAAGATCCTCATCCTCATCAGGACCAACGATCTCTTCCTTGCTTCCAACACCTTCCCTTTTCCACATTCTCTTCTCCAGCTCAGTGCCGGTCACCCTTCTTTTCTTGACTGTGTCATCTTTGCTGTGCAATACCTTCGTTACCCTACTTTCACTTCAAACCACCCGGAAAACCAACAAAACATGCGTTTCTCTCTGACTACCATCGCGGCCGCGGCCCTGATCGTTTCTGTCTCCGCGGCACCTGCTCCTGCCCCTGCTAAACCGACGGAACTTTCGGCTCGAGGCCCCGCTCCTACAAAGGCTCATGGCCATCGTGGTGGCCATCGCGGCAAACACGGCGGCGGTCAACGCAACGGCACCGAGTCCAGCGGTCCTGGCTCTGATTCCATCGGCTCTGGAATGGGAATGGGTGGTGGCTCAGGACGAGGTGGCCAACGCAATGGTGGTGACCCCGGTTACTTTCCTGGAGGTGGTGCTGCTCCCACGGGCGGCTTCCCAGGCTTTGGCGGTCAGCCATCCGACCCTCAGATGACGGGTGCTCCTATGTTCACCCCTGGAAACGACTATGAGCGGAGGTCTGTTGAGTCCGAACCTGTTGTCACGAAGCGTCAACCCTTCGGTCTGGCTTGGAGAGCGAGCGATGACGAATCTAAAGACACCTCGGATTCCAAGGACTCTGCAGGTGATTCATCTGACTCCAAGGACGGTGCTTCCGACGCCAAGGATGACAAGAAAGACAAGTCGAAGGGTTCTTCTGGCTCTTCTGACAGCAGCGAGGATTCTTCCAGCGATAAGGACAAGTCTTCCGATGACGCTAGCGACAGCACTGAGGATGCGACTGGTGACTCCGGTTCAAGCTCTGGTGGAGATGGCGGTTCAAGTTCGGGATCAGGTTCCGACTCCAGCAGCGGTGGCGGCAAGGGCAGCGGATCATCCTCAGAAACTGACTCATCTTCGGGTAGCGACTCTTCCTCAGGCAGCGACTCGTCTTCAGGAAGTGACTCATCTTCGGGCAGCGACTCATCCTCGGAAAGTGGCTCGTCTTCAGGTGGTGGTTCATCCTCAGGCAGTGGCTCTTCTTCAGGTGGTCGATCTTCCTCCGGTTCGGGAACTCAAACTGAATCGGGCTCTGGATCAGGCAACTCCACTATGCCTAGCTCAGGTGGTAGTGCAGCAAGCGGTACCATGCCTGCAGCAGCTGGCGAGTCTACTCTCTCCAAGACAATGATGGTAACCGGCGAATTTGATGGTGGCATGAAGCGTTTCGGTCGTGGAGTGTCTTGCACCGGTCAATCAGAGGGAGGAGACAGCGATGCTGTATTCTCTATTGCTAACGGCGGCACCCTCCGCAACGTCATCATCGGAGCCGACCAGATCGAGGGAGTACACTGCCAAGGAGCTTGCACTATCGAGAATGTTTGGTGGGAAGATGTTTGTGAAGACGCTCTCACCTTCAAGAAGGACGGCGACGGCACAGTCACCGGTGGCGGAGCTATGGGCGCATCCGACAAAGTCATCCAACACAACGGCGTGGGCACCATTTCAATCTCAGGCTTCACAGTCTCAACCTTTGGCAAGCTCTACCGATCATGCGGAAACTGCAAGACCATGGGCGAGCGCCACGTCAAGATCGACAAAGTCAAGGCTACAGGCGGAACAGCGACTTTCGTTGGTATCAACAGCAACTACGGAGATACTGCTACCATTACCAACTCCTGCGTCACGGGCACAAAGGCTATTTGCGAGGAGTTCGAGGGTAACGATACGGGTGCTGAGCCTAAGCAGATCAGCGAGGGGCCTAGCTCGGCTTGTATTTACACACCCGCTGATATCGCCGCTTGTTGATTGGATTTGATGGGATAGGCGGAATGTGGGATTTGGGACTTTTGAAGAGCTCATGGGTGCTTGGAATGCCCTGGGATTGGCGATGGGACTTACACTCATTTCACTACCATTCTTTCTGTACATACTGTCTTTTTACACGAATCAAGTACAGATGTCTTTTACGATCATTGCTTATACTACCGCTGACTCTCAGTTAAATGTGCAGCCTAATCGATCTTCACAATATAACACCGATGATTCGCTCACTTACGGTGATACTTTGGTCGCGATCATCGCTACCATAGGCCTTCTACCACAACGCCGATCTCGCTCTCTTGACTCACTCACTCTCGCCTTTTCACCACTTTTCGCGAACGCACATTGTCTGTGCGCGTCCCCGCCCTGTGACTATAAAACTGCGTGGTCCCCCACACCCTGCGACAAACAGTTTCAACGACAGCAATCGCAACACTTGCAACACCCTCAACTACAGGACAATCGACTCTACTAACCAACAGAATGCCTTCTTTTCTTACTCCGCCGCGCTTCGGCTTTGGCGCTTCCACTACTACTACTAACACAAACACTTCCCCGACCTGGGGCTTCGGCCCTGCGCTGCAGGGCGGTATGGGCCCTCCTGCGCCTGCCAGTTCAAGCAAATCCCCGACATCACCTATGTTTGGTTCAAGTTCTTTGTCGCTAGGCGCAAAACTCCCCAGTCCCACCGCCGCCCCAGCAGTCCAAAAGCAGCCCGCCGTATCCCCGCCCACCGGCCTCGTCTTCGCCTCTGTCGCCACCGACGCGACAGGCAAGCAGACGACCAAGAAGATCCAAGACCCCATCACCATCCTAGACGGCGACATTCACGTAGTTCGTATCTACCTCTCTCTCGAAGACCTCCCTCCCTCACCCCTCCACGACATACTCCTTAACTTCCAAAACCAAGGCGCCAACCCACTCCAAGAAATCCATCTCTGTATCCGCTCCCTCCTCCGCCCCTGTCTCCAGGACATCTACGAGAATCGTGAACTAGAAGAGGCCATGCTGTTCATGGTCGATCAGTGGTTTGCCTTTGGCACCGCGGTCAAGTTCTTCTTCCACCGTCCTGGTGTAGACACTAATCGCGACCGTTTCCAGAACTTTGTCGAGAAGGACTTGGTTCGCGCGGTTCAGGGTTTGGCAGAGGGCGATGTGGAGTTGTCGGAGATACTGGGTGAGGAGAGTTGTGTGTTGGGGATGGGGGCGGTGGCTGGTGGGGCGGTTCGCAAGCCTGTCGCGGCTGAGTATGGTGTTTGCGATGAGATGATCTAACGAGGTGGCGATTTGATTCCTTTGATGGTTGTAATATTAGCGCGGAGTTGCGGTTGAGGTTTTGTATCTTAATGATTTGTACTAACATTTAGTTTTAAAAGTCATGACGGCGGCGGCGTACTTTGAAGTAAGTAACACAAGTACCGACAGTACTTATGTAGATCGATGGAAATGAGAACATCATGATCTTTGCATATCTTCGGACTCTTTTCCGCGAAAGTGATGTTTGCTAATACTTAGGTTGTATCGCGCTGAACTCTGGATTACTTTAGTAACCCACAAATGATAACAATTTCGACTGTGTTTTCTGGAATTCCGGCTGTGGCGTTAGAAGCAATAGCGAAGATGCACTGTGGCGCATGCGTCCCGAAGCTTCTCCGAACATGCGTCGCGGCGGTTGCTGGCTTCTTGCCCGAGCTGCTCCTCCCATCACAACCATCAATATGGAACCAGCCAGCCGAGCGCTGGTGCAGGCTCTACCTGCACGTGTGCTTGATACGCACGCGCCTGACACATACGACGCTCAATCATAATACAGCAATGGTCCCGTCTCCACGCTCGTCCATCGCGGCGACAAACAACGCAAAAAGCAGGCTCAGAGCCAGCAGTATCTTACTTGAGAAGCCGACAAAGGCTGCAGACCTGGCGGCGCATCTCAAAGTCCCAACATCAACTTAGTCTCACTATCTGTATCACAGCCTCCGTGCAAGTTTCTAACAATGGCGCTGGGTCGAGGCTGGTCAAACATCGCAAAGCGGCACTACTCTCGCTTACTACACACTTTGGGCAGTAGCCGCGCACTGCCCTCACATCCTCAAATCGACACGAACCCCTTGTTCTGCTACACGAGCGGACGATGGTTATGGAATGAGCGTGAGCAATTGGAAGCCCGGTACCGACGCTTTGATGTGTCTAGTCTTCGGCAAGCGGCTTGCCAAGCTGTCGGTGCAAACAAGTGTATATCTTTCAAGAAGGTCGGCGAAGGCAACTACAACAAGGCATACCGCCTTGAGATGGGAGATGGCCAAAAGATCATCGCAAAAGTCTCACACCCTAATGCTGGCCCACGCGTCCATACCACGGCATCGGAAGTGGCAACTATGGAGTTTGCCCGGACCGTTTTGAACTTACCGGTTCCACGAGTTCTCGCTTGGAGTGCTACCGACCAAAATCCTGTCCAAGCAGAATGTATCATCATGGAAGAAGCAAGTGGCTCCCAACTGCATGAAGTTTGGCAGGATCTTTCACTGCGAAGGAAGTGTGACATTATTCGTGAGTTTGTAGACGTTGAAAGGAAACTACTCTCGGTCTCCTTTGAAAAGTACGATCCAACTTGCTCCAACATAGAATTTGCGGCCAGTCCAACTTACACACGCTTTCAGAATAGGATCATTGTATTTTAAAGATAGTAGTATCGCAGGATGCGAGCCGGCTATCGTTACAAGTGGTCCACAAGATGTCGTTGGTCACATCGAATCAACTTATTGCATTGGACCCATCACTCGAAGGGAGTTTTGGGAGAAACAACGCAGTGAAATGCAATGTCACGGTCCCTGTAAGTTTTTGGATGCCTGTGAAACTCGAATCTGGACTTACAATAATTGTAGGGACATCTTCTGCAGAATACCTAAAGTCTGTCGCTCGCCGTGAGATCGAATGGATCAATGCCCATGCGAACCCACAGGAGCCGAGTGAAACTCCATGGCAGTACACGAGTCCACATCAGAAGTCTCCAGAGGCTCACACAGTCCTGTTAGAGAAATTCTTAGCCGCAATTCCATACATCACCCCCAAGGACCCAGAGCTCGTCTCTCCCAGACTTTGGCACCCAGACTTCCATGCTGGTAACGTCTATATCGACGACCAAGACCGAATATCATGCATAATTGACTGGCAGGGAGCCTGGGCTACCCCGGTGTTCATCGGTGCCAATCCCCCATTGCTTCTAGACTATGGGATTGACATGTTGATGAAGCTTCCTGAAAACTTCAAAGTACTCGACGATGCTACAAAAGATAAGCTTAAATACCAAGTGTCTCAGTCTATCTTGATTCACACGTATGAAGAGTCTACGATGGAGAGGAATACTCTGATGTACAAAGTTATGCATCATCCCCATGGCCAGACCCTCAAGCAATTAGAAGCTTTTGTTGGCTCTACCTGGGACAACTGTCTCTTTCCCCTTGAAGAATGTTTGATTCGCGTTGAGAGGTGCGTTAATCTGTTTGCCCTTGAGTTCTCTGGCTGACCATTGTCGCAGTGAGTGGAGCCACTTTGGTACAAACGAACCATGTCCGTACCATTTCTCAGCAGAGGAGATACAGCAACACGACGAAGAGGCGGGGTCTTTCAACAAGAGCCAGGAACTCTGGAAAGAGCTACAAGGTGTTTTGACTGATGAGGGCTATGCGTCGAATGAGGGTTTCAGTAAGGCTGTCGAGATAATCAGAGACTTAAGAGAATTCGGGCTAAGTGGCCTGGAGGGCGAGGAACGACGCAGCTTCGACAAGGAGACGCGCTGGGTCGCAAATTTACGCAGCCGCAAATTTGTTGCAAAGGAAGATTGTTGATGGTATGCGATGTCAAACAGAGGGCGCATGGATCGGCCTTCGTGAGTGGAAGGCTGTTGAGGCTGACTAAAGAGATCGGAAGCGGAGTGAAGTTCCACTCCGTTGGCCCCGCCTTGAACCAAAGCTAGATCCGCATTGCCAGAACATAGTGATGTTGCAGGTCGTGGATGTCGCGCTCTGTCCTGGAATTGAAAGGCCCGATTCAACGTATGCGGATTTAGGAGGCTGGGTTCGCAGTCTCGATGGTCGAGCGCCTTCGCGCTTAATGGTAGGGTTCCTTCCACGTCGCGACGTTCCAGTTTGGATCGCACCTAGCGACACCCTGCAGAAATGACGAACATCTGAACTCCATCGGACGAATCGAGTAGCCCACCATGATTGATCAGCAACTATGCACTGCTTGTAGGAAGAGGCGCGACTTTTCTTATTTATCGATCGCGAAGTCGTGCGACACCGACATTCAATTCATCAGGCCTATTCGCGCAATCGTCCAAAGCAAATTTTCCCCAATCCAACGACCGTCATGACCTATCCATCTACCTACACGGCCTACCGTCGCAGCGCCGGTCAAGAGAAGGCCTCTCGTCAAAACCCTCTCACCCTTGAGCAAAGCCAAGAAAATCTGCCGCAAGAAAAAGACCTCGGCCCCAACGATGTAGTCATCAAGATCCACGCTGTATCGCTCAACTACCGCGACGTCGCTATGCTGGTAGCTGAGTACCCGCCTGCTGTCACGGAACAAGGCATCCCATGCTCTGATGCCTCCGCCGAGGTCGTCGGTTTGGGCTCTGCAGTCAAGAACTTCAAAGTGGGAGACATTGTTGCCCCGATTTGCAATCAAGGCGACTTTCATCCCACGGATGACAGCATCTCGGTGGCTATCGGTGCGAACGGTGCGGGTGTACTGAGGGAGTATGCCGTTTACCAGGAGAAGCACTTGGTGCACCTGCCGAAGCATTTGTCGTGGGAGGAGGTGAGTTGTTCACAAAACATCTGCAAATGCGTTGGGCTAATACACAAATAGGGCGCAATGTTACCGTGTGCAGGTGTCACTGCTTGGAATGCCCTGGATTCGTTGGAGACGGTACAAGAGCACTCTAGTGCTCTACTACAAGGTGAGGCAAGATCACGGATTCCCCACTCTCTTACTCATACCTCCTAGGCACCGGCGGCGTTTCCATGTTCGCCTTGCTGCTTTGTCTCGCCGGCGGCATCACTCCAATTATAACCTCATCCTCGAACGACAAGATTAAGGCGATTCAAGATCGGATCAGCGACAAAGTCCGCGGTCTAAATTACAAGACCGACGACCAAGCTGCCAAGATCAAGGAACTTACAAACGACCGCGGCGTCGATTTCGTAGTCAACAACACTGGCGTCGGCTCCCTTATCGATGACATCTCTTACCTATGCGCTCGCGGCGGCACTGTCTCGCTAGTCGGCTTCCTCGCTGGCTGGGAGGCGGATTGGAAGCCAGCTCAGCTGATGGCCCTGATGGGTAAGGGCGCGAAGCTCAAGGGTATCGCTGTAGGATCGAAGAAGGATTTCGAGGATATGAATGCGTTCATTGAGGACAAGAAGGTCAAGTTTGATGTCATGCTTGACAAGACGTTTGGGTTTGAGGACGCGAAGAAGGCCTTTGATCTTCAATTGTCAGGCAACTTTTCTGGTAAGATTGTCATCAAGGTCGCGCAGTGAGGGACTCGTCAGACTGTTACAACATCTACTATGAATGAGTATCATTATTTACCCAACGTACCGTCAAAGTCATTGCAATCGGATCATCACGAGACGAGCGCGCAAACAAGAACATGCAGTATCATTATGTCAATCATCCTGTGATCTGCATGTATGTTTCCGAAAAGAGTCAAAACTGTGGCCAAGCATAGGATGCAGCTGAGCGATTCCCAGATTCGTGCCGTCATTGGCTTGATCTGTGCTCAAGCAACAGCACTATGATGCTTATCTTCGATCAAACCTCAACGGTGGCTTGCAAGCCGACACAGCCCCGCAAACTTACGGACATGCACCGATCTTATTGGTCGGCTGACAGCACAGCCTCTAGTGACACCCTATCATCTCATCAGGCATCCAACATCCAGCTAGAATCACGAGCTTGTGGATGACCGGCAAAGCGGCTGCAGCTGGCTAGTAAACATGACAAGAGTGCTGTCGCACGTTTGATCTTACAACTAACTACTTACCTAGGTACTCCTTACTTTCTCAGAGCATATCTACTTCCCACAACATAGGTACCATTATGGAATCGGGAAAGAAAATGGGCATCCCGACTACTCCACAAGAAGCAGCACCCGCCTACGAGGAAGTATTCCACGACCATCCCGTGAACCGATACGGGCCCTCTGGATCAGCATCAGCCGTAAGCTAATCTACCACATTGTGTCACAAGCCTCCAATCTTGCTAACCCATCAATTCACAGTACACGACCGTAAGCCAAACCGATGACAACGACATCGAACTCCACGCTGAACCCCACAACCACACTTCTTCCGGCAACCTCTCTTCATCAACGTCAAACACTGAGACGTTGGCTCAGACCATCACTAATTTCCTTCGACCGAACCCCGAACCACACACGCATTGCGAGATATGCGACAACCACGTGCAGACAGAAGCAAGACGCACGCGAGAGAGCGAGCGTTACTGTTGTACCATGGTCGCAGCGACCATCATGGTTTGTTTCTTCTGCGGCACGTTGTTGGGTATTGCGGTTGTGAATATGCAAGCGAGAAAGAGAGAGGCTCAGGATTAAAGGGATGGCATGTAATCAATCATGGATAGGTTGACTATGTAGTTGAACAAACCATAACGTTCTAAATCTAAACTTTCAACCCTTCACGCAACCTAGACCACAAACCGCTGTCCACTGGCGGAAATTCTCATCCTCTGAATGCACGACCGAAAGAGTCCCTCTTTGCACTCGTCTTCGCGATCCTGAAGTCCACACAAGACTCGTACGTCTGCTTAGCCGCTACTCCATACCACCACCACTGCAGCACCTACACCGCGTTAGCATCTCGCCCAGACCACCTCACCCATGAAAACTTACACAATCCCCAGCCGTCCCACACCTCTCCTCCAACCCCTCCGGCACCTTAACACTAAACTCTTTCTGCCCGGCCGGTACATCCGCCTCACTCTTCCCCGGCGCATACCCCTCCTCCCACACCTTCAACATCTCGCCCACAACCTCATTCTTCTTCGTATCCACAATACTGACATTGGCCGAGCCCTCGTGCGGAATGCGGATCCACACTTTCATGGGCACGACCTGGCCCGCGCTCCATACCTGCGTGTTGTTGGACGGGTTGTCGGCGAATTGGAGGCCTTTGCAGAGCCAGAGGTTGCAGCTGGAGGCGGTGTAAGGGGGAAGGAGGAGCTCGGGGAGGCCCTCGACGTGCGAGGTGTTGTCGCCGTTTATGGTGCGGGTTATGGCGGGGCCGCAGTGGGACGTTAGTTCTGGGCCTGTGGGACGCGAGGGTGGGGAGGTGATGAGGCCGTGGGAGAGGGCCGTGGGGAGGAGGGAGAGGAGGGTGGTTGCGGCGGCGGCGGTGAAGTACATGATGAAGCTGAGTATAGGAGTGAAGTAAGGAGAGGAGGCGATGAGATTGACCTGCTTGGGTGTTCGAGATACATGCGATAGACATGGTACTTTATACACGTATCGAATTCCCATTGCTACCATTCATTTCTGCATATTTTCGTCCTGCACCCCCTATCTCCGTGATTCCAAATCAAACCCCCGTTCGTTGTCGTGCAGGCCAATTTATCTGGGGATGCTATGTGGTTCTTGTGTGGAGCTGCTATGGGAGGTGGGTGTAGATCGCCAAGGATGAGCGAATGAGACGGGGATGTGTATAGTGTCGGCTCGGTAAGGCTGCCCTTGCTATGCCGGATAGTACACGACAATTTATTCGAGAAAAAGAAGCAAGGGTGACATGGTAGTTTGCCGATGTATAGCCGGGCAAAATATGAGTGCTGTGTAATGTTCTGCTGTTGTGCCTGGGCAAACCGAGGTGAACACCACTTCAGCGCGCACGAATGCCCTGGAAGATTTGCCATGTCATGTGTCATCGTTATTAGCTAGTCGCATTGGACGTGTAGCATACCTAACATCTATGCTTTTATTGTACATAGCTTCGGGAGCTGTCAAAGTTTCCCCTTTCACCTCTTACTCTAGCAGAGAAGCTTGGTTGGTGTAAAGTACATCGACCACGTTGCTCAGCTTCTCTAGAGTACTGAGTGCCGCGTCGTAGCCCTGGTCTCGCTCCGACTCATCGTAGACGATCAGACATCCGGCACCCTGGTCCAGAACTCCGATGATGACCTTGTCGAGGATCATCTGCGAAAGCTTGCGCTCAACCTGTATTGTGTCGAGACCGACCATCTTGGCGACGTGGTCAATCTCTACCCTGCTGAACGGCTCGATGACCTTGATCAGGTTCTGCTCCAACATGTTGTCGTACAGGCGTCGGAGGTGGGAGGTAATGAATCGGTCGCTGCCTAGCTGCTGGCGGAAATCGGTCAGGGCGGTTTCGTACTCTTCGAGACTGCGGTTGGTGTGTGCGCGCGCTACGGCCTTCATGGCTTCTAACCGCTTGCCTGCGTACTTGACAGCGTGCTTGGAGGTCATGAGCGAGGTGACGTCGTCTCCGAGGTTGAGCATAATCTTGCAGAGCAACATGTACTGGAGTGCCGAAGTAGCCTTCTGCTCTTCATCCTGTGAGTGGTACCCCTCCATGGCTTCGATGAAGTAGGAGAAGGAGGTGTTGAAGTCGCCGTCCTCTGCGTGCAGCATGCCACTCTGCATGTCGAGACCAGCCTGCAGCAGAGGCGGAGTGTAGACCGAAGCAGCCGATGTTCGTGCGGAAGTGAGGGCAGCGCGACCCTTTGGTATGTTGCCCAACGCGTGGTAGACCCTTGATTCGAGCAGCTGAACTTCCACCAAGACCAGCTTGTCGTCCAAGCGCTTCAGCTC